TGTATTCGAACGCAATGGTGGAAGCCTTTGGAAATTTGCCTAAAACAGTACGACAATTGCTGAACTCAAAGGAAGTTGCTTAAATATCCTCATGGTTTGAACAAGAACACAGTGACCGGCATTAATGTTTTCTGGACCTCATCATCAGTTCAGTACACGGTTAATGACATGAAAAGACTCAGTCCAAATGACTAAGTGTCTGGTGCGAATTAAGTGAGACTCGACTGAGCTTTTAGCGGAACTGTTGAATCTAATGGTGTTTCGGTAAGAAAGGTGCTTGCATATTCACTTAGAAATTTGTCGTATCGTGCGCCCAACATACTCCGCTGAACAACAGCGACCTGTTGGCGGACATAGTCAATCGCCGCATGTTCCAATTGCTAAAACGCACGTTTCCGGCTGGGACTCTGCGGTCTTGGTCCACAACCAACCCCCTTTGCTCAAATGAAAACTCAAAGAAAAGATACCAGTCCTCACTCAGAGAAATACACTCATTTGCAAATTAATTTGGTTTTCACGAGAGACTCAACTGAATCTCTCAGAAACAGTCCAATTTGGGTTCAAGTAGAACATAAGGTTGACGGAAACTCGGGGACTGCGCCTACCTGATGAGCCCCAAGAAAGACGAAACAGGTCGTAGGCTGTCGAAGAGTTTTCAGCAACCTTGTGAGTAGTTTCCTTCATGGTCGTGTGTTCCTTCTCCTGCTGTCGTTCAAAGGAGTGCGCGTGCGCATGACACGGCAACTCTCTAAGGGAATACGTGAGCACATCTTTTACCGGAATACCAGCAGACTCAACACTTCAGCCAAAAGCTCAATTTCGTCCCATTTAATTGACACCGACCACGTAGTCATTTACCGTGTACCAAATAAACTTCCAGTATCGATCCAACGGCGTCACTTGACTACAGCCGTGGGTACGTTTGCGAAGCCTTGTACTGTGCTGTCAATGTCGAGGGATTTTCAGCAACCTTATGAGTAGTACATTACAAAGATATACATGTATCGCGATATTTCAGATATCGTAGCGACTGAAACATGAGGCGGCCTGGTGCAGCACATTCAGTTACCTGAGAACACCATAAAAACGAGAGATTCAGCTGGGTTCCAGGTGAGTCTCTCGAAAGAACCAAATTAGTTTGCAAATGAGTGTATATTCGCTAACACTGAGTCCACTTTGGTCATGTGACATGAATCAACCGGCCAAAGCACTCAGCGGCCCTCTAGATTGTCTCACAGCGTCGACTCGATGCGACGCGGGGGAGAGGACAACCAATCGTTGGTATATCATAGTTCTTCATTTCACCAAACAATCTTCGCTGCGTATTTCATTTTTCGCTCCTATTTTGACCATTAAATGTGTACTGATATGATATCCATCGAGAGTATCCACCGATAGCAAGCAGTTCGGAACGAAATCTCCATACGGGCAGATTACAAAGTGTTTTTGCACCGCCAAACATCTTTTAAGCAACCACAGGTGCCACAGCACTCTCTAGTCCTTTCGACATCCAATCACAATGATCTAATCCGGTAGATTCTTGTGCAAGATAAATGGTACCGAAACTGATCCGTGCCAGCCGCAAATTCAGGGAAGCGTCCTGAAGACAATCAGCCTACTCGAGTGACGATCAGTGGTTCTCAAGTTACGTAAAAAGAAAACTAAACAGTTGAAACCCACGATTCATCCGCGAGTTTTTCAGATGTTTTGCACAAGACACTGGTCAGCTTGGTCTATATAACTGAGGTTGAGGGAGTCTACGTCCAACACTCTGAAATGTCCGAGTGTTTCACTTTCTGACCTGTGCACGCAACAGGTACAATAAAGTATCTCCGATTACCGTCACGATAGTTTAAATAAAATCTATAGTGAAACACTTATACGGGTGCAGAGAAAGAGGACAGTTCTCATCCCAAACTAGATCGTGGTGAACCGGCCAATTCTTGGGCATTGACAACTGCCAGGTGACAGAAAGAGCTGCCCAGAAGCGCAGCTTTGAGACATAGTCTGCCTGAGAAGCACGTGATTCCTGTTCCGCATTGCAGCCTTGCTGAATTGTTCCAAATGTTCCCTGTAAAGAGTGAGAAACAGGGTCACTTGGTGTAGGCCATTCCCTTTAGGCCTACTGCGTCCACAAAGCTACTTTATAACGTTAACAAACGAGTTTTGGTTGTCCAATCCCGTCAAAATCGATCCGAAGACTCCGTCCTTATTGCCACCAGCAACTACCAGTAGATGAGATCTCAGTCTGTTGGTGTGGCTTCGCTAAAATGCCAGGAACTTAGATAGTCGTGTAAAGAGAATCAGTGCAAGTCTGTGGCTTATATCTCCTCCAAAAACGCTTACCTACACTCAACAGGTGGACTTGTCAATCCAGGGTCCTTTCTGTTTAAATGGCTACCAAACTAATTGCGGGTTTCTGAAAATCCACCAAGATTGTTCTTATTCAGGCGTTTTCTAAAGACGCATCTATTTTCGCAAGCTTGCGGTCGTTTGGTGATAACGTGAAAAATGTCATGAGTAGATCTGGAAATTCGCAAGTAGCTCATAAGGAAGACTGATGCACGTGACGAGTGGAAGTCGTCGCTCAAGGAGCCAATCAACACGTGACCAAATCTCATGGATTCCGTGATGGAAGAATGAGTGACGTTATATCCTGTCGAAGTGTGAGCCAATCACACTGAGCTAATCAGCTGCTCTTGATTACTGCTCAGACTACTAGCCGGAAGGTTTTGGATTCCCGGGAGATTCGTGGGTTTGGCATTGCTGAGATCAAACAACTGCACAGCGATTCTCGGCCTATAGGCTTCATATACAGAACAAAATCTCCACCGAAAAAATGCGAATAGACTGTGACAAGCTGATGATTAGCAGTCATTTCTGTCAGGTATTTTCATATGCCGATGTCGGTGTGTTCTATTCACACCAAGTGGCGGTGATGAAGGTGCTCAATCTGAGTTTCACGGGACGGTTTGCCTCACGATACTGTCATCAAGTTGGAAGGCAAACCATTGCTAGAAATGCTACGGATCAACGACACAGAAAAGATTTGGTGTTTACTGGATTAACAGACCACCTCCTACTACGTGTTCCGAAGTTTTAAACCGATGTCATTTGTCCAATGGGAAATAGCTATGCAATGACAAACTTTGTACTCCTCGGTTTTTCCCCACTCTGGGGACAAATTGCGAGATGGCTCAAGTTGTTAGAGTGCGAATTACTGACCGAAAAGTCCGTGGTTTAAACCCGACCTCTGCATCTCGACTTCTCCTGTGCAGGCTTGGGCGACCTGGCAGTATCCCAGCCCTCGTGCTCGAACCCGACCCCCGCCCCTCGACTTCCCCTCTCTAGGCTTGAGCAACCTGGCCCTCGTGCTTCTTTCTGGTGGCATGGCATGCTACATCCGAACGATTTTTTTCTGTATCACTATCGAGCCTTTTGGGGTTGATATGAAGAAATATTCATGCGAGCAACAAAACGCTACTGTTGTTTCCTCTGTTTCCTGATCACAACATAGTGCTTTGTTATACTACTTGTATATCTTTGGAGCGGTACTCAACGATCTGCTCAAGGTTAGCTACTAATTGTACGCTTAAAGAATCGATAAAGCTGAATTGTTCGGGTCAAAATTGCCGTTGAAGTGCAACGAGTTCCCTCGTAATTTTGCAGTTGCTTCTGAGATTTTTCCCTCCCTGAAGCCAGGTACAACAACATTAGCAGGTGATTAAACGTCAACACTTAAAAATGACCGAGTTGAGTTTGATGTGCATTTGCTTTACATCGTCGGCTAGTCTATATATCAACTCACGTGATTAATGTCTACCGGATCAACTGGCGAGTTGTTTTCCAGGAGAAACTCCACACAGCCTCGATGTCCACTGGCTGCAGCACAATCTAACGGCGTCCACTGCATGCAGTTCCGACAGTCCACTGCGGCACCTGCATTGAGGAGCAGTTCTAGCAATGCAACATGTCCGCTGGCCGCGGCGAGATGAATCGCCGAACTGCCGTCTTCGTCACGCTCGGAGACTAGACTGGGGACATGTTCGAGCAGGTGGCGAGCTATGCTAGTTGAAAATATACAAACAAGGCTGGGAATTTCATTTCTGAATGGGTGTTTCAGTTTTCCTGTGATTTCTGAAACGCATATATGAAAGCTGCCTCCTGGAATGAATGACAGCAATACTTTTATGTGAGTAGCAAGCACTTTACCAACTTTCCAATGATTGCCGCTGTGCTAGATCTCATCATTCCATCTATATTGACCGCAAGGTCAACTGAGTTTAAGTAAAGCAAGACGGCTTATTAGAGATTTTCCTAGGTTGGTTAATTTTATTCAATCTCAGTTGCGGCACACAGTGGATACAGGTGTAATGGTGTGTACTACTTATGAGTAGCGTCCTGTCTAGTTCCAAGCCCCGCCGTTATGTAAAGGCTACTACGAAAATTACAAAAACTCTCATTATTTTTTACTAGTCGAAGGACGCCAAGAAAGTTTTAGGGCAAGCTTGAGGAAGTCCCATTTTCACTTTCGTGTGCAACCCAATAATTCACGTTTGCCTGTAACTTCGCACCGGAGTGATATTTCCAGTTTTCAGGTAGTACCGAAACGCAAAAGCCCCCCCCCTGAGATCGACCCTTTCTTCCCTGGGGCTACAACATTCTCCCTCTGAAAACTTTCCAAGCCCTATATGCTACTCACACACTTACACAATTCTGTGCCTCGATGAAGTCCTTATCATTTTTCGAGACAGTGGTTCGACTTTAAGCAGAACATTTTTAATACCAGTCATAATGCAACGTTTTAGTGAGCAAGTTTATCCATTGCATTTATTGCCTTATTCTATCCTGACTGAATTGAATACCGCTCTTTTTCATGTGTAGTTCTTGGCTGGGAACCGGACTGCTTTTCAACTGGCGCATTCAATTAAATTTCCTCATGTTCGTATGTTTTATTTGCGTAAAACCTGGAGCCATTTGCCGGACAGGTTTGCAGCCCAGGAAGGGGCACCTGTTATCCGTTTAGTTCGAGACATCAGCAAGTCCTACTCTTCACCTTGATGTCGATTTCTTGGTTTCCTCAGCACTCAACCAAAAAAACTATGACTGATGAAATGTTTACCAAAAAATTTGATGAAGCATATTTCAGTGTACTGCATCCGTTGCTCATTTGGGCACCTTTGTAGGCAACCATTGACAAATATACGGGCGCTATCAACCAAGTGAGTTAAGCAAAACGTTGTTAATATCGAGAGCATGCTCTTCAACGATCATGAGCAGCCCAACTTTGATCCTGAATCATCATTGGTTGGCCCCACCCATCGCGTATACACTGAGTGAAACTCAGGAACGACGATCGATAGGATCATTGAAGTAATGAGAACGGCAAACGGATTGTTCAAACGAGGTGGATGTGAATACCAACCGTACATATCCCACACTTAACTAAGATTAATGGCTGTTTGTGGCCATCTGTTCTCACAACGAAGTTTTAATAATGCCCGTGACTTCTCAAGTCAGACAGAGAGAATGGTTCTCCCAACAATTACGTCGCAGTAAAAGCCGAAACCAAAGTTGGCAGGAGGTAGAAAGCAATCGTTATTAGTAACAGTAGCCATGGCAACCGGGAATGGTACATCCTTGACCGTGTTCTGCACAGTCCCCCAGGTTGTTATCCCTCGATCCGATCGCTGCTGATCTCTTCAGTTAGCCTGGAGACATCATGATCACTGATAGCGCCAAGCTCGGTGAACAAATCAGCGGCCACATGGTTGACGATCAATAAACGCACCAGAGCCGCTGGTGCATAAAAGAAAGTCCTTCGCCTTCAGAAGCACACTAACTAACCGATTGCAAACTACTGGACAAGAAAGTAAACACCTCATATTCTCAAAAGTGAACATCCTCGTTCATCTTCTTGAACTTTCGTGGATATTCATTGACCATCACGCAAGTGTAAACGAACGCTGCAAAGCAGTTTCACGGGTTCCGTAGTTAACCCCATGGGGTGTACCTTCCACTAGACACACACTAGCCACATACTACTTGCATGCCTCATCAGTAGTGTTCGCCGTCACGCCAGTATCACTGCTGTGAACGCGTAATAATGTTACGTTGTCTGACGGAAGATGAAAGGCGGGAATCGTGAGGGACATAAATTCCGTAAGACAAAACCATCCTTCTACATAAATGCTGTGCGCTTTCACGCAAAGCAGATTTTGATTGCGTACCACCGAAGATAGCCAAAATGACTTCTGCAGTTTAGCCCATGTTTCTCATTAGTAATAAGTAGAAAAATCTGACTTGTACTTTTTCCAATGTACATTCTGATTTTCACAAAAAAGATGTACACCATCTGGGTGTCCGACTCACCGCAGTCTCCCATATTTGGCCGCATTGTGAAACGGTGTGCGTTCCTTTTCATTTTTTGACGACACCTTGGCACCGTTTTCCAGGAGTAACTAAAAATGGGTAAGATAGCCGTGTGGCGAGGGACAACGGGTGAACACGGCTCAATACATTGCCTTGGATAGACATATTTGATAGTCAGACCCCAGAGGATTAGGGGATATAACTGAGGTTAACCTAAACCCAACGTCAGGCAGCTGTCGCTCTCCAGGCGGACCCATGAATCCTGTTTAGGTTTTTGCGTCACTTTTAATTAAATAGACATACGTAATACCCCAAGGCCTCTAGTTCATAAAAGATCATGTCGTTTCAATAACCCAAAAATATAAAGTATATATTCGAGTGGCGTTCGGTTTTAGGAACTAAAGATGTCCGATAATTTTGGCCCCAGAGACATCCTACAAAGTACAACCCACCCAGTTCATCTGGTTTACTAACATCCTAATTTACACGGCTAACTCCCCATGTGAGATCAGCTAAGTAATATACTGTTTGCTATTCACAGGCAAAGAAATTCCGGTGAAAAAACGGGAAAGAAGCCTACAAGTAAGAAAAGAAATTTAGTATTGGCCTCTATACACTGTATCTCCCTTCCGTGGAATCGCAGTTTACTTTTGTTCAAGTTCCACACACGCAAATGGTGTGCGATGCGATCACGAGATAAAATCAATAAAATACGAAAGGCCAAATGACGTGCTAGTCAAAGTGAGCGATTTTCACACGCCAAATCAACCAATCATATGAACGTAAAGTTTTGTGAGGGCTTTCAATCTATCATTAGCGTCATGGACCACAATGTGGTGAAAAATCAGTACTAGTTTTAAATAACAAGGCTCAAAAATGAGGTCAGACAACACGATCAGAGAGGATTGACGGAATGTGAAGCTGAAAACTTCGTTCAGGAAATATCCATAGAAGTGTAATCTTCATAGCAAAAACATGAATCCAGCGAATCTTAGATGTATAAGGATTGACGAAATTCCAGTTCGGTTGTGAAAGTCATTTTAGTCAGTACTGCTCTGTACATAGAACCTATCAGGAAAGTCAGACTCCTGAAAGCAACCAGTGAGAGCCCGAAATTTACTGAGACTCTCAGCGCCGCTAGATGTTGACCAGACAGACAATGCCCCCTCAATATGCAGCACTTCGCAGCCTTGCGTCGAACCCAGACAGCGCGAGTCGGCGTTGGCCAAGGTCAGACAACGCCTCCGCAATATGCGGCGCGTCGCAGCCTCATACCAAAGACAGACCGCGTGCTTCAGTATTGGACCAACTTCCAATTAAATGACTTGAGAACGTTGTACTTTAACACTCGCACGCACTGACGCTATCGCACTCGCTTGTTCGGAATATAGCTGTTGTGTTACCTTCTGTGGGTTATTTCTCGGCATTAAGCCTGGAGCGGGTCAGCAACAGATACCACAGAGTGGCTGGCGGAACAGAACCAGACAAAACAAGCCCAAGAAGATGCATATAGAATAAAGGATGAACTTTTGGATGATGTCAATGACGATACTAACCTACGTATTCTCTCATAACTAGGCGTTTTTTTCTTCAAGGGGAAACACCGATTCAAAAAACTTTCAGGCAGCCCCACAAGACTGATCAGAAGTAGGAGCTCCATGAGCAAGATGCTAACAACTTCCTCGTGTTCTTCATCAGAGAAGAATCGTAGTTGATAATTCTTCACTCAAGTTGTCAGTCAATAGGTGACCACGTGATATGGTTTCTGCTATTGAAGGATGAGTGTCACTGTGTCCTGTCTAAGCGAGAGTTGATCACGCTGCTTCTCAGCCACTCGCAATCAAGTAGTTAAGAGTTCAATCCCCGACCGAAAAGTTTCTGTTTCAAAACCCTCTGAGTTCCGTGAAATGTGCGCAGCTGATAATTCTCAACAAAGATGAAAGAGCTACACGGTGATGTCCGGCTTTTCAGGATAGATTGGCTTCACTTACACGCTGAAATGTTTATCAAATATTATATTACGTTAAAAAAGTGCCCAATCAGAGTTGTTAACCTTCCGGCCAATGGAACTTGTTCAGGCTAATGCCAGGTAGCTTTCCTCTAACAACCCTTGTGTAGTTGTGTCCGGAGGCCAGCCACCCCTAATAACCGAACATCACATCATTTGGACGGATGTCACGTGCAGGACACGCACCAAACGAGGGCATGCCCTGATTGGTCAGAATGTCAGCCAATCCGAGCCGAGCATCTTTGACTAGATGCTTCTCGCTCAGTCACAGAGATTCTGGCACGACCATGTGGAACACTCTGTGACCACCATATAAATACCGTTGTAATAATTTTCCTTTGTTTCCATAAAGGGCTATGTAGAGCTACCGTGTCTTTTGATATACCATAGTGGGCGGGGCAGGAAGCCAAGGGACCGATACAGAGTTGCACTACCGTACATCAAGAGTCACAGCAAGTTGGTTTTGAGTCATCAGTTCTCCAGCTTTTAAGATTGATCAGATCTTGTGGAGCTCATCTCACCCCACCAAATTTGTTTAGAGTAGAGGATAGGCTACTCAGAATGGAATGCACGATACTACTAACGCAAGTAAGTATAAAATTTTGGTCAAAACAAACTGGCAGGTGGACCAGAAGCGCGCAAAATTAGAAAATCCGCTAAAATGCCGCTTTCCCAAAAACTTGTGGCCTTCAAGTTGAATTTCGCCTCGCATAATAACTAGTGTAATGGTCACAATTTTATTAAAGCAATTTAGACCGGTAATGTCAATTTTGGATTGTCCTAAACTGTATCCACTTCCACCTGTTCGGCAACAAAAAGTGAAAAAAACAACCGATACAGAGTTGCAATACCGTACATCAAGTCACAACCAGTTGGTTCTGAGTCGTCAGCTTTCCAGCTTTCAAGATTGTTCAGATCTTGTGGAGCTAATCTCGCTCCACCGAATTTGCTTAGAGCAGAGGATAGGCTACCCAGAATGAAACGCACGATACTACTAACGCAAGTAAGTATACAATTTTGGTCAAAACAAACTGGCAGGTGAACCAGAAGCGCGCAAAATTAGAAAATCCGCTAAAATGCCGCTTTCCCAAAAACTTGTGGCCTTCAAGTTGAATTTCGCCTCGCATAATAACTAGTGTAATGGTCACAATTTTATTAAAGCAATTTAGACCGGTAATGTCAATTTTGGATTGTCCTAAACTGTATCCACTTCCACCTGTTCGGCAACAAAAAGTGAAAAAAACATATTTTGTGATCCCTTGGTTCCTCGGTAAACAAAAAAATGCGAAGTAGTGTGAATTTTTACCGCGGATAAGAATCGTCGGGCAGGTAAACCCTACTAACTGAGTTGCGTTAAAAAAAATCATTTACCTTCTACCGCAAATAGCCGGGGGAATATAGACCGGTAATAAAAACAGCCTAAACGCCGTAGTTAAAGCTACGAAAACCAGATTGTGGGTTGAAGGAGGGATCGATGTCCACGATCAGCACAGTTACCCTACAGGATACACAGTTGCTTGCTGTAACTAGTCGTAACTAGTCTCGCATTGGCGAGAACTGACAACCTGGTTGGTTTACTGCTGAGAGGGGGCGAGATGGCTCAGGTGGTTAGAGCGCGAATTTACTGGTCAGAGGGTTCGCGGTTCGAACCCGGCATCTGCCTCTCGATTTCCCCTGTCTAGGCTTGGGCAACCTGAGAGTATCCCAGCCCTCGTGCTTCCTTCGGGTGGCATGGCAGCTAGGCACTTGAAGGGTGTTACAGTTGAAAGATTTGTTTACTGCCGAAAGAAATTTTGGGCCAGTTTTGCCTTATTTGCTGCAAAATTTAAACAACGAATAATAGTAATCCTTACAAAAGTTACCTTAACAATTTCCGAATGCCCGTTTTTCGCGGCAATGTGGAGCGGCGTGTCATCGTAAATGTTGGGCAATTCAATCAACTCTTTGGCTTTCGGATGGTTCAAGATGAGCTGTGACAAGAATGAAATGTATTCACTGAGGAGAGAAACTTGCAAGTTCAGGAAAGGTAAGCGAGAACCACCTGACTCCAAAGCAAACCGTTTTAGAAAAGGTCGTCTGAACCCAGCGTGGACTGCGTTAGAACAACTCTCAGCACAAGGTCTACTCTGCACGCGCCTGGCGAAACCTTACTGAATTTTGGAGAGGCTCCACACTGTGAAACACTCCCCGCTTAACGAAGTCGTTCCAGTGGCGAACGTTGATGTGAAATTTCCTAAAAGCAAATGCCTTTGTCTCTTTCAACAATTGGCCTTCCTAAGCGTCACTGCCGGAAAGTTTTCTGGACAAACTGTCCCGTTGCTATATTGCGAAGAGCGCAAGGTAAGATCAGATACACTGAGGAAAGAATTGTGAGGACAAACTGAATGACTTTCATGAAGGAAAATAAATACTGTACGTATAGGTTTGAGAGTTCACTGCCGAAGAGAGTTTCTGAGGCCCGTGGACAAAGCAGACTAGGAGGTTTTTGTACGCGGATGTTCGTCCACATAAGCTCACGCCGGTGCTGCGAAGGAGAAGGTTCGGAAGACATCAGCTTACATTAGGTGGTAGCTAGTGATAATAGCTGGCATATCTTTATGAATATTCGTATTTTTTAAGAACAAGAGGTCTATGAGAAAGTAGAAATCACGGTCGTTTCACTGTTTTCTGGGCTTGGCAGTTTGGTTGCACATCACTCGAGATGATAGCATCGTTTTTATGCTGTGTTTGGTTGCCAGCGCATTGAACAATGCGGCGTTTGTGTCTGTATCCGTCTCCTTGGACATGGCGTGATCTTCGAGTACGACCAGCCGCTTACAGGATACCTGATCCTGTCGGTTGGCTCGTTCAACCAGCTATCTGGCCGTTGGACGTCCAGATAGATTTTGTCCCTGACCACGGAAACTCACGCCAGATAACATTCGTCCTGTCGGTGTTACGGTTGCCATACTTATCTGCGCCCGTGTGTTTATCTTGCACTATTCGATGAAGTTAACGTCCATTTGCTCGTGGTGGTCCGAGGGACTAGGTCGATTGATGTATGTCGTTTCAGTGAGATTTTTCAGACTTCCTTGAGTGTCCTCTATTTCCATTTTCCAAGACCACGCTTTCCAGGTTGTATTTGCGTCTTGAAAACCATGGCTCATGTGTTCTGGAAGCTGCAATTATAGTATTTCTTGAAACTAGGACAATCGATCGTAAATCCGATAAACCGATGGACAGAATTCCGCCCAACCGTTGCACCAAATTTAAAATCTACGGTCAGTTTAATAGGATAACTCATGAAGAACCAACAGATCAGGCGGAAATCACCGAAACTGGGGGACCCAAAAAGCAAGCGTCATCGGGTGCGAGTCACGTGAATCAAAGTCAAAGGACATCCAAGCTTCAAGCAATAAAAGACCGGCCAACTGGCCAGGCAACAGGATCAATCATCCAAAGAGTTCATCAAAAGTCAGGGTCATCACCGGCCAACGTCAGACACCTTCACAATGAGGCCACGCTAATCTCTCACGCCCTGACGATACCACCTCAGGTGATGACGAAATCCTTGCTACCTGGCTGCCACGCTCAGACAACAGAACAAGAGGCATCTATACGCCTTGATTGTAGAATGAATTTTTGGATCCTGTCCCGACGCAAATATTTCGGTGAGTTCATACGAACGATGGGAAGTAATGGCTGCATTCGATATTTGCTCTTTTTAGGGCCCAAAAGAATTACATACCCTTGGTTGTGCCTGGGGGTTTGAACTGCGGACATTTGATACGCGAGGCCAGTCCCAAATCTCCCCACAGTCTATTAGTAGTTCACACGGATAATAAAATTCACTGGATGAGTGAAACTTCCATTGGAGAAGCCGTTGCTTGAGCAGCCAGTCAACATGTGTGACCACGTGATGTGTGTCACGTGAATGAAAGATGAGCGGTACGAGTTGATTAAACCGCTGATCAGCTGCTCGCGACCAAACAAACTACTAACCGGGGGGTGATGATGCAGTTAAGATCAAAGACGGATAATCATGAATCTATTGGTCGCCCATCTACGGAAATGTGCGTAACTAACCCTCAGTACATCCACTTCGTTGGTCTCAGCACACAAGTAGACAATTCCCTTCGCGGTTTTCTCCTGAGCCATGATATTTGCTCCAGCCTCGATAAGAATTTGTGTCACTTCAACGTTTCCCTTTGCAGCGGCCAAAAGTAGAGGTGTGTAGGCATCATGATCCTGATTCTCCAAATCGCTGCCACTGTAAAGACCAGAAAAAAACAGTATGTGTAGTTCTGCCTCATAGGAAACATTCCCGCCTTGGTTGTCATTAGTGATCGTCACACATTACAAGAATAAATCTTAGTATGTCATCAATGGTGAAACAAGCCTACAATATTTGATACGCAGTTTAGAGCTATATTCACCCAGCCAAAAAACAAAACACACTGAGGAAATGGTTTTCTAGCCTCTTCTGATAGATGGACCACAGTTTTCCTGATGCCTTCTTAATACCATGAACCAAGTCTGGATAGCCGCTTGATAGCCTGATGCTCTTAGCCAAACCAGAAAAGCCAAGGAACGTGCGAATCAGCTGATCTATTGATCACTGTCGCGTACAGGCGTGTCATGTGTGGCCGGGCTGTTTATAAATCTCATGTGGAAAGTTCTAGGCGGGTCAAAAAGTGATGCTAAAAACCGAACTCATCTGTCGAGGACGAGTGAAGAACAACCAATGAAATCTGTCTCAACAAAAACAGTTATTCCATTGGCCGCTGTGTAAGCTAGTTGCGTTTGGAGCTGGTTCTCCTAACGCTTCCATAGGACCCAACGTCAATTTGGTAAAATACTCACTAGTCGCTGACTGAGGTCACTTCGATACCGGGCTACGCAGTTAACCCACGGGCCTGAAATGAGCTAGCTTGCGTTCTTTTTCATTAATACTGGATATCACAGTCAGAGACAAACAACCACGGTACACTTAAAATGACTTTCACTGGGGAATCAGGTTCTGTCACAAACAGTTCCGGGAGCAAGTGGTCCATTTCGTGAAACAAGGTTCTTACATATCTATCCACACGTTTTTTTCTTAGTAGGTGGTAGTTGTAAAATGACTGGAAAGAGGTTGGCCTCAAACCCAGTTAGACTGGATGGCTTGCTTAACTACATCGTGTTTTCAAATACGTGAGTGCTAATGCTTTCGTTGCGTAGCGGGATCTTGCCAGCTTCAGGGTGTCTGTAATTAAATGTTGCGTAGGTACCGGACTGATCAAGAAAAAGATATCTCAAAGAAGGATATGAAACTTCTTAGGTTGGGGAGCGTGCTACGCATGCCTGACCAATGTGTTCAATTCAAAACTTTCACTGGCTAAAGTCGTTATGAAGACAGAACATGAAATGAAGGCGGTTATGGTTAAAAAGAAAGGCCTTGTGTCTTCCTGTCTTGGGCCTCAGAAGTCAACCCTGAATGTGGTTTTAAAAACCTTGCGTGATATAGATTAAAACTGGTCCCAGTCGTGATCTCACTGCCGTTAGCTAAACAAATCAGCTAGCTGGTGAAATCTCCCGCCATGTACTAGGTTTGTGTTGGGTGAGCTCTGTAGTAAATCCATCCCCGTCGCCAACACAATTAAAGATTTTAGCATATCAGAGCTTGAAAAAAGAGGTGGTAGAACCGGAAAAGATAATCAGAGTAGGGCGTACATAGAACACAGCTTGAAGAAAATACATAACACTTTAGTACCGAAGGTTGATTAGCTCAAGTTTTAACGTCATTGTCTGGAGAACAGTCCCCAGGATCCGTCGTTCCGATGCAAGCATTTCAACAGCTCTGACCACTTGTGCCTTGTAAAAATAATTGAACGAAAAACTGACCAGCTTACTTTTTAAGCAGTAATTTCATTACTTCCACGTTATTGCGCTCCGACGCCTTGTGCAGCGCTGTTTGAAGTAGCAAGTCCTCTGCATCTATTTGGACACCAACCGACAGAAGCAGCCGCGTTGTACTCAGACTACCAACACGCGCAGCCATGTGCAAACATGTTTCCTCAGTCTCTGGAGTAAGGTTCGCGTTGGCACCTGTTTAGTCGATGCAAGACGCAAAGGAGATAAACCATAAGCTCGCGTACACCTCTTAGTAAAGATGCAATGACTGTACGCAAAATGGGTTCTTTTGGATATTGGTCTGTCACCGACTGGGGCAAATTGGATGACATCAACAGTGAGTAGGGAGCTAGCGGGGAGTCGTAGTGTGTTGGTGTGCAGGAGCTTTTTTGTGGGACGTCTTCTCTGAGCAGGAAATATACAGATCCCTCAACGGATCGAAATAACTGAAGGTTCACGAATGTGACCTTGAAGTGTGAAGCTGGGGAAGTGAATTGGTCCACGTCACCGATGTGTATTCGACTTCATGTAGCCTGATGTAACAACCGCTCATTCCGATAAGTTGTATGCGCGTTGGCTTATCAAATAAAAACGCTTATGCGAAGTTCCGCTGTATAAAACGACAAATGGGAGGTATTAGCCGTACTCACGTGTTTCAGCACCATCTCAATTCAAAAAACGGTCTTATTCCAATTTTCACAAATGAAACTACTCATAAAGTTGCTGAAACCCCTTCGATCTTGTGAGTAGTTTTCTTTGTGAAAATATACTGCGATATCTTGAATATCATACCAAATGGAAAATTAGGTGGCCTTGGTGCAGTATATTCATCATCATAAACCAGATATTCTATTAAGTCTCCCGCGAAAACAAATTGGACTCCAATACACTACTCATAAGGTTGCTGAAAACTCCTCGACAGCCCATGACCGGTTTTTCCTTTCTTGAGGCTCATCAGGCAGGCGCATTCCCCGATGTGGACATTCCTCAAATGTGAACACAACTCTGTAAATCCGCCCAAGCACACACAATACGCCAATCAGCTGTCGCCACCAGAGTAGTACTCACAAGAGACCGCGTCGCCGACACGAGTAATTAATTTGCAGGCGCATCCCCGATGTGGACATTCCTCAAATGTGAACACAACTCTGTAAATCCGCCCAAGCACACACAATACGCCAATCAGCTGTCGCCACCAGAGTAGTACTCACAAGAGACCGCGTCGCCGACACGAGTAATTAATTTGAGCAATTCTAATGCACAACCATGTTAGAGTGAACGAATTGTGAGAACTGACGGCTGTTGGTCATGAAAATACTGGCAACTAATTGTGATGAGGCTAAAAGTTGACGAATAGCTTCAAGTCCAAGAAGGGAAAAATGTGAACATTTCGCCAGACATAACACTACTCATAAGGTTGCCCAATTGTGTGATGTGTTTAGGAAAGGTGAACAGTCGTTTTGTCACGGCTGTAGTTGTTGATTATTCAACAGGCAAGTTGGCAATGATCGTCTCAACTGCAGAACGATTTCCTCGGGGGTATTGAAACCCATAGTATGATCCCTGATCTGCCCAAATTTATTCCGCTTCAAGAAGATCTGCTTATTTCCACAGCTGAACAGCAGATTTACGAAATAAATGCTGACGCTCCTTAACAGCGAGAAATTTCTCTAGGATACATGAGTCATTCGAGGAACCAAGCACGAATTCAAAAGTCTTCCATAAATTTTTGAGTAGTATGATGTGTCAAGAAATCATGTTGCGACATCTCGGATATCATATCGACCATTATCCGGTGGCACCTGTCTGTTCAGGGTGACTTGCCGACAAGACTTAATGTGATGGATGATGGCACATCAATGAACAGGAGGGGTGTTATGAACTGGTAGAAGTTTCGATTGGTGTACGCCTGAATACGACTGAATACAGATGTGTCCGGGTTTGAGCACGTACTTGAGTCTCATGCTCAGGTGACGTGTGTAGCCCAAGGAGGGAAGCTTATAAAGTTATCAGCACACGCACGCAAATTGAGAATGGCTGCTGTTTTTGCAACATTTCGTCATTTCACTAATGTACCATTCCAGTGAAGAGTTCCAGAGCGAATAAGATGCGAAAACCAGTACGTACGCCATCGACAAAAAGAAACGGCAAAAATTCGCAGAGGCGTTTGACCTAGAGCCGACGTAAGACCCCAGCGGACTAGGATCTGAAGTGTCACTTAAATTTATCAGATTGAATGCAGTTGGTACGCATCATGTACCTCACAGATAGTGTGCCGAAACTGGTTCTGTGAACGAATCTGTTGATAAACAGAGCTAAATAGACAGAACCTAATATCAATAGTAGAGAAGCTCAGGGAACAGTGAAGCACTGAGTCTTTGGGGGCAACAACCAGTAAACCAAAGTACGGATACAGAGAGACTGGACACCATTCTTGGTAAAGGTCGCGCGCGGTATTCAGTTTGTTCGGAATACATTGAAGTCGTTAATCATAGCGTACGAAAGCAGCGCCTATAACGAAACTAAATTAAAGCGCGCGCCTAGCTTCATTTACCACCAACGAACGGACTCTAGCGATTGCGAGGGAAATGTCAAGAGGAGGAAGGCCTGGTGTAGTAGTCGGCTGAGAATTTCCGTCGCTGGAAATGCAATCAAAAACAGAAAGATTAGGTGCCAAATCGCACGCGAAGACAGACGGCTATCGACAATTACAGGGCAAGTGGAAACAGCAAAACGGGGAACCAATGCCAGGGGAGTACAGCAGTGAAGTGAACGTGCAAAAGTGACACTGCTCATGAGTAGTAAAAAACTCAGGTAAAGCAACGCTGGCTGTGACTGATCCAAAAGGTCGATTCAGCAACCAACATTGATGTGCGCGTATTCTGGATGGCCGTTTCCTCCCGAACGCTTTGGCACCTCATTGAATCAAACTATTGGATTGAATTTGTTCCTTACACACACACTGATGGGGAAGTTCACGTCCCGTTTCACCGACAAAGTAAATCACAGTTTCTTGCCGGCCGCCTAGCATAGATACGGCCTTTAGACTTTTTCACTGCACAAAACTGTGACAGCACGTGTGGGATGGCCTTTTTCCGGGGCAGTCTGTAAGAGTCCTGTCTGTGGCTACACTTTTTTCTACAAGGACACATCACGCGTTACAGTAGCCACCCGTTGCACACGGGGTTCTACTTTCATTAGCCTGATCCAATTGTCGCGCCTACTTTTTTTCTTTGTAAGTAGTAGGGAGAGACTGATCGTAATTTTCCATTGGCCCAGTGACGATTCTGCCCTTCGGTGACTCGTTTCCAAATTTTATCTACCTTCTTTTCACTCAGGCATCTGATTGTACGTGTATTGTCTTCATTAGTCGGCCGCACATTCGGTTATAAGGGTACTTCCTTGAGGGTTGGGGGCTAATCACAGAATTTCAAAACTGACGAAATGATGTTTTGGTAAAATTTCGGCAAATTTAGTCCGGTTTTGTCTGGAGTGAACATCGCAAGCAATCCATACGTTGCTTTGACCGATTCTCCAGTATGCTCCGCATTCCGGTGGACGGTAATGTCGGCATATCGACCGATACATTCCATTCCAAAAATACCTATGGATGTGGTTGTACAGTGTATTAACTGTCAGACTGTAAAAAGACATTCAAACTCAACTGACAGGATGAAATATCATTTGAAAATTACGGAATTTTCCCACGTTACGGTCAATCTATGAATGGCTCAGAGAATAAACGTACTACGTAAGGTCAGGGAAACTTCTATCTGAGAAGTTGAAACTCAAAGAGCCAGTCGCACGTGACCAAGTGATGTGGCTTCTGTAATCGAGGCATGAGCGGTGCTCTATCCTGTCTAAATGAGAGCTAAATACATTGCTCCGCAGCCACTGGAGGCCAAGAGTGTAAGCGTTCAAACCACTAGTTGGGAGGTCGTCGTCTGGAGAATCTCTGGAGTTTCGTGACACACGCACTGTTGACGATTCCCATTAAGCATAAAACAGCTGTGCAGCGCTTCTCAGCTTTCCAGAATAAATGTCGCCTTTTACAGACAGAAGTCTCCATTGCACTGGGTTAAACTGACTGCCCAAACGTTCAGCCCCACATCTTTGCTGAAATTTTTTCGCAGTAGATTGTAGTACCATTTTCCACCTTGTTTTTAGGAGGAAAAGGACATCAAGGCATTAGCGAAATTAATTTGGTTTTGCGAGAGACTCACCTGGAACCTCGTTTGTAATGTTTCCAGACGAATGAATGTGCTGCACCAGGCCGCCTCATGTTTCAGTCGCTACGATATTCAAGATATCGTGTTACTTGTACATTCATAATGTGAAACCGGTCGTGAGCCTCTCGACGAATTTTCAACAACCTTATGAGCAGTGCATCACGAATGTACATGTGTCGTGACATCTCGAATATCGTAGCGACTGATGCATGAGGTGGCCTGGTGCAGCACATTCAGTTGCCTGGAAACATCACAAACAAGGGCTAGGTTCAAAGTGAGTCTCTCGAAAAGCCAAACTTGCTTGCAAATGAGTGTATTTTGCTCATATATGCAATTTGAGTTCACGCAGAACATAAGGTTGATGGAAACTAGGGGACTGCGCCCACCTAATGAGCCCCAAGCAGGGCGAAACCGCTCGTGGGCTGTCGACAATGTTTCAGCAACCTCATGAGTAGTATACGAAACCATTGTTTTAGCTTTTTGCTTATGATAACCAGTATTCCACTAGTATTCCAATTACTTTCACGTTGTGTCGGACTTACGTCCCAACACGTTGTTATATGATGAACAAGGTGAGCCAGATCCTGAAATCCGCACAGATATTGATCAATTGTTAACAGATCTACCTAAAGTTTCTACAATTCACTTGGCTGCTCATATCAAAACAAAGACTTACCGGAAAGTCCAACTACTGCAGCGGACCGAGTGACCGGATGGAATAATGACAATTTTCCAAATACAAACGTGTTCCAACTTGACAACTTGTCAGCTTTATTGTAACATTTTCTTCTCCCCCCCCCCCCCCCCACACTTTTTTCCCCCCCCCAAATTTTTTATCCAAGACGCATCAATCAATGCACCCGCAGCTCGAAACAACTGCTGGACTCTCTCACGTGAACAGTAATCGATATCGGACATGTGCAAACTCTAGTGTCCAGTGCACGGTCTATGATTCGGAATAAACGTATACGTAAACCTCATCCCAGTGCGACAGACTTGGTGCTTTCGCCAATATCATGTTTCGCCAGTGAACGAAGGATACCATAATCTGTCCGTACCAGTTCTCGAAGGAGTATTCTCCGAATTCCTGCTTGTATAACTGTAAAACCATTACCGAAGACCGTATTTTAGACGTTTCAGAGACCACTATCCTGCTTGCTTCTTCGCCTTTTGAGAGTTTGCAACCAGTCTCATACACGCGATTACAGCGATCTGTCCAACTTCACCGCCGTGCTCAACAAGTGTGGACTGGTGCTTCGTAGCTGTTGTTCGCCAGATCGGCCCACTGGTTAAGAGGTGAACTTACTGACCGGAAGATCCGTGGTTCGAACTCAAGCCCGTCATCTGGACTGCTTAAGTCTAAGCTTGGGCATCCTCGTGGTTCCTTCGGGTAGTACGACAGCTTGGTACCGAAACGGTGTTACAGCTGGATGACTACAATATTACTACTACCGGTAACTGCCAAATCTGCTTGGCCCTCTAGCTTGCTAACCAAAGTTTTGAAACCAGTTATCAGACATATCAACACGGTTGCCTATCAACACTGCATTCAATCGCACAAAAGGCAACAGGTGGGCTGGATGCCGCCTTCGAAGCACGTTTAGAAACCAGGATTCAAAACAGCTAAGCTGCTCACAAGATGAACGAACCAGTTTTACGACATACCTCGCACACACAAAAGTACTCACCGTGTTGTATGCAGAACTGGGCAACCTCTGAGTATCCATTGGCAACGGCCCAATGCAACGGTGACTCCCCATCTCGATTTAGTATGTTGAGCGGCGATACTGGGCTGTTCACCTTGGACAACGCTGCTTCCAGAATCAACTCAACAAGCTGCAGGTTACCTGTAGCACAGGCGAAGTGAAGCTAGCGAAATGAGGGAATGCAATTTTGTTGAATTTTACGTTTCCATCCGTTTTTCAAGTGATGAAAACGAAAAGTCCAAACCTACATCATTACACGATGAGAACGGTGATGCCGTTTTGTGCCCTCCGGTTGCTACAAATTTTTTGGGGGGATCATCCCCTCCTCCTAACATGAGCACCCTCCCAATATGAAACAACCAAACAAATTTGGCGAACCTGTAAATTTCTCCGATACGAAACCAGCCAGTAAGCAAACAAGCTCTCGTGAGAAAACTGGAAAGGCCTTATCTCCTTACACACAAGCATTTAAATCGTTTAGTTTTCAAGGCAACCACCTCTAACTACTAGTATTCAAACAAACAATGGGGGATCAGCAGAGCGAAGCGGAAACTGCTTCACAAGTAGCCGAATGTCAGAGTAGCCGAAGTCAGACCGATCGATCAGATAAATGAAAGTAACTGTGAAAGCTCAATACAAATGTTTGCAACTGAGCGTATTTCGCTAATCATCATTTCGCTAACATCATAGACGAGGGATTCAGTTGAGTTTCTCGTGAAAACCGAACTGATTTGCAAATGAGTGTATTTCTCGAAAACGGTCCAATTTGGGTTCAAGTAGAACATAAGGTTGACGGAAACTCGGGGACTGCGCCTACCTGATGAGACCCAAGAAAAGCGAAACCGGCCGTGGGCTGTCGAAGAGTTTTCAGCAACCTTATAAATAGTACATTACGTCAATACATGTATCGCAATGTCTCGAATATCGTAGCAACTGAAACAGGAAGCGGCCTGGTGCAGCACATTCGTTTTTCTGGAAACATCACAAACGAGAGGTTCGGCTAGGTTCCAGGTGAGTCTCTCGCAAAACCAAATTTGTTTGCGAATGAGTGTATTTTGTTAATCACACCAAAAACATGTTCACACTAGTGCTTTCGGGGCAGTTTGGGTTACGGTAGGTAGATCTGTTGCTGAGCAACGTTTCGCTTCTAACAACAGCTTCGTTAGGCCAAGTGACTAGGTTGCGAGGCTGTCCAAAACTTAACATTTTCCAATCGAACGTTTCAATCCAGGTCACAATACGCCTTCTTATCGCGTTGCCTAACCGAAATTGTTCACACCTTACCAGGAATTGGCGAAACGTCTAACGGACACGATCTTGGGTGAAATTGTATCCATCTTGTAGTCAACTGATCCTCCTTAAAGCTGTTCACCGATCTTCCGAGTAATGAGACGGGATGAGCTCGAATAACGTCTTACCCTGGCTTGCCTCGAAACCAATCGCGAAGCTCGACTGTCTATTTATTTGCCTTTTCGAGGTTAATGTCCCGCTGGACCATAGTCTGGCGCAGAGCGGCACACAAAATGATCATCGACTGCATTGTGAAGACTTGTACACCAGATTAGGCAAGTGGTTGAGTTTGACTCAGCTTAATTTGAGGGTTAGCTGAGATATGACCTTAAGCGATTGGATTGGAACGGTGACCTAGAGAAGGTGTTTCGTATTTTTCAGGACGCACTATTTAAAAGCTTAAGCTGTTTGGTTTGATGAGGTTACATGAGCCCTCCGGGGGGACAATCCAGTAAGGGAACCAACCGCATACGTGCTTAAGTTCTCGTAGGCACCTGTAGGTCATTCTGATGCGGTGCAGCCATCCACCCCAGATCAGCAGCGAAGGAAACCGCGAAAGTTATGACCAATGTAAATATGTGCTCGATTTCACGGCTGAAGACGATGTTATCTATTAGCAAGGACAGGCTCTCTGAAGAATGTTTCAAGACTTGGGAAAAATCTGAACGGTCTTCGTTGACTACTGAAATCCGGTCGAAAGTAGATTGCAATTTCTTGCACGAACCCGAACGTTCATCTGGTCATTTCTAACTTAGGGCCCTCTGCAACCTTGTTTTGTCATGTAGCTAGTACTTTTTAGGAAGAGGGCTCTAACACAGAGCACAGTACCTGCTTTATTAATTCTGTTCTGACCTAGGTCCCCGTGCTCTTTCACACTGGGTCACGTGTCTGTGTGTGCAAGTGTTCGAACGTTTGCTGAAATGAATCAATCAGGGTTAAGCGCATTGGTCACAACTTTGTTCCAAATACCTTATATCTTCAGTTGACCGTGCAAGCCGCTCACATTTCCAAATATGTTTCCTGATGAACAATGTAGCAGGGGCAACCAATTACCAACCAGAATTTCGATCTGTCTTCGAGCTTCACGTGGGGCATTCTAGTGGAAACACAAGGCCTTCTACACCCGAAGGTAACCCACGCCTCAACAAAACCGTGCAGTGGTACCTCGTTCAAGCAATGAACCAAGCTCTGAGTGCACTCCCATAGTCCCTTATAAAGTCAGAAAGCTAATTACCCGTTGCCATCACCCGAGGCAAATTCTGATTCCGTTGAATTCACCGTCTTCTCACTGACTGCAAATGTTATTTTTATACTTTTTTTTACTTTAATTAGCGAATCAGCTGTGAATTTGGTCAACGTACACCAGCCGTATGCTGTTTACTTTAGGTGTTACCGGATGGCGTCAACGAATTCGTAACTGGGAAGCTATAAAACGCGTAGTTGGTTGTGAACTAGGTACTTCAGTTGCAGAAAGTACCCAACTCCAGCAGTCGCATACCTCGTCATGGGCTACGGACAACGAAACATCGTCAGTCGACAACGGATAATTTGACGGAAGGGCGTGAAGCAGACCGTGAAGAATTTAGAGGTTGTTCGTTTGGTCCACCTTCTAAGGTCTGTCGCCCGTGATCCCTTGATCGTGATGATGATGATGATGATGATGATGATGATGATGATGATGATGATGATAAGTATTTACTGGGACTTCCTTGGTCTCGAGTTCTGAAAAGCCAGTTTTCTAGACCTACCGGTGTGCATCTTGCTTGCGTCATCGCAAGTGGATCAGCATTGACCGTCAGGAGTTCCCGAACGATCTCCAGTTCGTTGTGCAACGAGGCCAAATGAATTGCTCGCATGAGGTCGTGATCTTCGAGCTTCGGAGAGGAAACGGAAAAATGATAATAAACACCCTCAGGCGAACACTTCGCGGGCTGCTGTACTCAACTTCTCTAAAGTCATTTTTCATCAGGATTGAAACTAAAATGTATGGTCGGCCCAGTAAAAACAGTTCCCATAAACTTGTGACACCAAAAGATGTAGAAAATGGATAACACATTAGCCTCTGTCCACTTGACATGACTGCGTACTACGTGCTGTGTCAACACAGTAGATCTGTGGAAAGAATGTGTTTAACCCCAACAGTAAATTTAATTAACTCCACATCATATGTTGTAATTAACAGTTTTTTTGTAGATAGTCTTAACAGCCCATCGCAGAGAGTGGTGAGCTATCACGTGACACGAATTCCTGCTAAGTATTCACCCTAATTGAATGTGGCTACTTCATTTGGGCTAAGCTCCAATTAGATAGCTACTGACATACTACTTATTGCTTCCAATCACGATAATCATGGGCTAGTAAGTAGCAGGTTTCTGAGGATGGCTACTTAATTAGAACTTGAGTAGTTAGCAGAGCACAACTCGGTTTGTTGTTGGAAACTAATCCTACCGGTGTAGTAGTATATACTATTGACGAAACATGTGAGTAGCTTCCGGCGAAGAGCCAAACTGCCGTCCTCACAACTGTTGGAAGGTCCGTAGGGAAATTATAGTACCGCCTTTCAGTGCTTGTCCACTGTTGTCCAACACTCAACGAACGCCCCGGAAAGTTCAGAAGGACGCTTGAAAATGCAAAATACAAAAATTGTGCAAACGCTGTCTGATAGCTTGGGACCGCTTAGTTTGGGGGTGGGTGGGCGATTAACACGCCCACGGGTACCCTTTTACCGGTGTCCCCGCCCACTAAAGTGTATTTATCAACGAAATGACACTCACAGGACAACTCCCAGCTGTCGTTAGGGTCCACTGACCATTCGTCCAACGACAGCGAACGGCCGCTGATACCTTCTTTACCCACGTCGACATCAGATATGTTTCTTATATTAGCGCGTTCACAAATAGCCAGAAATTGCGAAGAACAGATCCCTCCAATCAAACAACAAGATGGCATGAAGAGTAGATTGACCCAGTCGGAATGAAGGAACAGAATAAGTGAACGGGAGCCACCCAAGAAAAGAAGGCCTACTGAATCCCAAAAAATGGAGACCATCAAGGAACCCGGTGGTGATGTTAGGACAATGTTCCTAACTTCGTCCACTGCGTGAGGAGTTGAGGCAGAATCATTCCCAGAATATGGACCACAAAAGTAGCTGGCATACCTGCAGTCGATCGGCTGTAGTGGTTCATGATAGTTAGAAGTTTAGACCTTGGAGCGTGACGGCTTCTGAGTTTTACGGGTGTGCAAGCAGACATTCGTGGGTGAACTTTGTCGGACCGGCGGGAAACACAAGGCTTACATCATATTTCACCAATAACAGCTGTGGGTAATATGATTTTGCCAGTGACCCAAACTCAAGTTAAGTTTTCTGGTGCCAGAGAGAAAAGAGCTATTGAATGCCCTATTGTAAGCGATTAATCTACAGAGCGGGGCACGCAGGAAGGCGGCTAGACCGGTTTTATTCTTTCCGTGGAAATTTCATCAGATTAAACAAACTGCGACGATTTCACTAAGGTTTATGTAGGACAAACTGCCAGAAAATCGCATACCAGAATCAGTGAGCATAAAAGAAGGATTAACAAACCACCAAGGAGTGCAGAAGAATACCAAACGCTGGTCAAAGACTCAGCGATGGCGGTACATGCCTTAGACACAGGATGTAGGATAGATCTGGAGAATGTGGAAGTTTTAAGACGGGGACTGCGATTCACGCCACAGCGGCTGATAGCCGAGGCGGTGAAAATTACTAAGCATCATAGCGTGAATAGAATCGAGGGTGTGGAACTGGCGAGCATATGGAAAGCTGTCTTAGATAAGCCGAGTTGACATGTGACGGTGCGGTTGTCAATCCACTTAGGATCATTAGAAAAACCGGGGGGTAGGGGTGGAAACCCCAACCGACCAAAGGTCACAGATTCACCGCACTTACACAACTATCGTAGCACTAGCTCATCCACACAGACAGACGAAAAGTGCAAACGACGTTCGAGGGGGTCATCACGTGAACCGATCCGGGAGAACTAGACCCTTAGCTGGACCCAAATCCATGTAGGTTTCCTCATCGGCTTAACACTTGGTGACTAACATTAATACACAGACTCCCCTGGCGGACACCTAACACAGATTTAACTTGACGCGGCTGACTGGTTCTTCTTGTGCCTTGAATCTCCACCAACCTCGTAACTTAGTTACTTGGCCTGAAGAAGCTTTCTGGTTAAAAGCGAAAAGTTGTCCAGAAATAAATCTATCTATTGCTACCAAACTTTTCGAAAAGACACTATATATAGCTTCCGCCACAGATGGGCTCCACATACAGGACGAAACGCCAGGTGAAAGAAATTTCACAGTATTACCACCTCACCAACAAAACATTATGTCAAAATCTGAAACTCAGACACGCTCTAGATTCCCAGTTCCCAAAGTTTTTTTGCAGTCGTTTACTTTTATTGTGGACCACAGTTTATTAATGCCTTCTTAGTGCCGTGAACCCGAGTCTGGATAGGCGCTTGATTGTCTGATACAATCAGCCAAACCAGAGAGCCAATGAACGTGCGAATCAGCTGATCTATTGAACACTGACGCGCACAGGCGTGTCACGTGTCGCCGAAAACGGTTATTCCAGTGGCAATTGTGTAGTCCAGTTACGTTCGGAGCTGGTTCTCCTGATATCTTCAAGTTTGCTGTGCCAAGTATCCTTGTTTCAAACTGTGTGTTTGCTCAATGACGTAATTTGCTGGAATTTATCCGGGGCCTTTAACTTCCTTCAGAGTTGCACAAATCGAAGTAGTTCCGAATGAAGTTGAAACATGAACTACCCAATATGGAAGCTATTTAAGTGAACTTCCAAGTTCTGAACTGAAGACGAAAACTTATAACTATTCATCTGAAATCCTACTCTCCTCAATAGTAGGGACAGATAGGTTCCATATATAATTTCAGTAAGAATCTCAAGTAGTGTGACCTTGAAAAAATGGTCATTTGAGCGGAGGGGATCAGAGGAAAGTTGGAATGTCGTCACGTTTTTTTCACCACGAATACAGCAGTCCTCCCCCTAGTGGCGGTCGCTGTTGGGGCGGAGTCGGTACACTAGACGGTGGTTATTCGCGGATGTCATTGTAAACTTTCACCCGAATGCTCTTCTGTAGTAAAGTATTAATTTATATGCCCCGCTTGCTTCAAGAGCTAACAGTCAACATATTGCTCAACTCAAGCGCATCTCTTAGATAACTGGCCCTCTGTCTGGCCGCGATTTTTCTGCCAGTTTGCTGTCTTTCAATCCCGTTTTTGAGAAAGGAACTCGTGTATACTCTTGTCGTCACCACTTATAAGTGAGATACTATAATTTTTACCAAGGACAGGATAGTTCAGGAGAACGTTTAGTTAGTCTTTCCTACCTCAATATTGATTCCAGGTTCTCGAACCAATTGTCGCGTGGCAACTTGGTTCCCACGAATGGCAGCGTAGTGTAGAGCAGTCCAGCCATTCGCATCCTGCCCGTTCAACTCAGCTCCGTGGGTGACCAAATAGTGAATCACGGGATCAAAAGGTTCCCTCGGTCGAGCACGAACGGGACTCGTCACCACTTGGTTCAGTAAAAGACGTTCCGATGGTGCCTGACCTGTTTCCCAAAATTGAACATTGACATTTTCAAAAGATTCGCCACTCAAATTCACCGAAATCGATCTGTTCTCCTCACGTTGTGACTGTTCAATCTGATGCCATTTGTTTGTTTGGTGATTCGGTGTGGAACCCGGAAATTCCAACTGAAAATGGAAAACTTGAGAACTATAGCAGTTCGGGGTCATGCAGTCCAGACAGAAGACCCACGACATGACACGGTTGAAGTGTTTTCAATCCAACGACACCTAATCCACCACTTACAACAGAGAAAAATTGCTGCTCAGCTTCATATGACAGTGGGTAATATTCACTTCAAGCCCGTCCGATATCCATGTAAGCACGGATGCAGTTCATTCCCAAATAGGTTCGCCTCTATGTGACCAGCAGAACTACCGGTGAAAGGAAAAAGGCCTTCGTTGCAAAGTTATCTATTAGGAAATGCCAACTGACCGGTTACAGACCA